CATGTTTAGGCTGTCCGCACATTGCATTATAAGTTTTTTCGCAACCAGATGCAAGCAGAGCTTTAGTCAACATTTTACTATCGATGCAAATGCTGAAGCTCTTTATTTTCAGCTGTTCCAGTTTGTCTTCATCGTGCAAGATTTAACTCCTGTGACTTGATGTCTCCATGATTCGGAAGCTGTCCTCATAATCGAAGCGTCAATATGCTCACATTTCTTTGTTGTCCCCCAGTGGTAACAGTGGTTTTTGGCACGTTCAGATTCAGCTCTGCTCAATGGACGAAGCGAAGCTGTTAGGCTTGGCCGTGTGCCGTGTTCCTTCTTCCTGCGTTACAAGCGTCTTTTGACACCATAATCAGCTTCTTCAACGGCAAGAATACAACACAGATAATCTGTTCTATACATGGAAGATATATTAATCAACGACATAATAGATGCAATGCATCATATGGAGGTAGTACACAATCCTCGCAGTTCTCCATCTGGTCGCTTTCCAAATTTAGCTTTCTCCCTTCTCATAGCTTCTTCGAGTAATCTTTGTAGCTCTTTTTTTCTCGTATCTTTATAACAACCAATTAGTAGTGCCAAAAGCCACGTTTGACCCATAGCTACTGCAGCACATACAGTAACGACGATAATGGTTCCGATGTCAATCGCACCTAAAAACTGCTCTACAGAAAAGCTTCACGATGAGGCAATAAAACCTTACTTTTATGATCGAGATAGTCCGCATTGAGGCCTCTAGCAATAACATTTCCTATATAAGCTGGGTTGTTTGTGATGAAATAGGTAAGCACACACGTGATGATAATGCATGCAAGAACAGTAGTAGTTTTGAGCACGATTTTCGGCACAATCCATGAAGATAGTTCTTTCGTGATTCCATACCAAAATGTGAGAATACCCAACAGATGAAATAGGTAGAGCAGACCAACTGAGTAGCATGCGGATGTCACGAGAGGTGTGTACCTGCAAAGTTGCTATGTTTTGAACATTTGAAAAAATTGTTAACACGAAGAACACATCCCAGAAATAACATTTCAACCTAAATACAAATGTCTTGCAATTTCAAACAGACACATTTCTATATGATAATAGGTTGG